GATCAAAGCATAAGCCTGAAGCAAACCAGTAGGAGAGCTGGTTTCTGTGTAAATAAGGAGGCAAAATTTCTGAAGTAAAAGGCTGAATCAGTACTTCTACTCAAAGGCAAACAACTGAAAACATAAGAAATTTAGTTTTAATTAGTCTAAGGGTTTTGTTGCTGGGTACAGGATGCATCTGCAATACCTAAAAACGAAACAAAATTCCCAAAACACAACATAGCCTGGTTTGCCAGAGTAACCTGCTCACATCCACAGTCCCTACTGACCATCCATTACAAAAAAACCCATTAATCCACCACGTAAAACTCTAAACAAAAACAAACTAAATATCCCCTCACAAAACCAAACCCATAGAAAAATCTCCCACCTAACCACCGTTCCCTCAATGTTATCATTCTAATAAATATGAACAAATAAGATTTCTTTTTTCCCCTTAAGTAGTCTGTCAGCAAGCAATCGAAGCGAACTGAATTTTACATTTAAAGGGCTTTCAGGATCATAGCCCTATCCGCCCACCGAAGGCACACGATGATACTTCAATGCCACCAAGCAAAATGAGCACCAGATGGAAGACTGGTTTCCCATATCTGCCATTTCCAATGCAACCCAACAAGTAAGCTAAATAATACCAACGCTGTAACTTCTATTTTTTCCTCACCTTCTCTTTTATGCAAGTCAACACACCCAGCTCCCCTTTCATGCTCCACCTAGCTCAGCATTCAGTTTCCAGCTGGACAAGAGGCATGGGAGCTGCCTGACACACTGCAGCTCCTGTATGGATGGGACAGTTCCCTTCAAAGGAATTTTTCACATCCCAGCAGACCAGACCCACATCCAGTCACTTGGTGCCTCTGTTGTGGAACAAGCCAAACAGATCGCCTGGTCCTCAGCTTGCAGAGCTCAAATGGCTCTGAAGCAATATGTTGTGCAGGAATGTTCCAGGAACTGCTCTTTGAAATCTCTTTCATTCTGATGCATTTGTTAGAAATTGGTTTAAGATTCAAAAGTCCTTAAGAGGAGAACTAAGACACATGCACAAGACAGGATGATTACATACATGTAAGAACAAGTAGGCAAAAATTGAAAAAAAATAATCCGATAAATAGGAAAATGTCCAGGATAGCAAGTGACATGCCAGAAATTACGTGGCACGTACTCAGAATCTTGAACCTATTCCTAGAGATCTTGCTTTTTTTCTCCTTTCAGATTATCAGGGTGCCACCACAGCTAAGACACTGAACACAGTATTCTTAGTGTCACTTGTAGGAAAAGGCAAGTAGGAAGGGCTGCACAAGGACAAGTAGTAAAGTCGTAAAAGGTTAGGACTGTGAGGTAAATCTCAATAGTATGTTTCTGCTATAGTAATCAATAATAAAATCCCACCCCCGTGTCCCCAAAGACACTTCCAGTTGACTTTGGAATTAATTGTACTTTCTGATGAATGGGGCAAATTCAGCTTTCATGTATTGCCTCTGAAGGTAACACTGCCTTAACTGTCAGGCTACACAAGGACTTTTCAACCAGAAGGGACACTTTTCTTTTTTTCCTTAATGTAAGCCTGAAGGCCAAGTAATTTTCAATAGCACTGGTGTTCTTCCCAGAGTTTATGGCAATGGGATAACAGAACAGTCAACGGTTCTCATAGTAATCTGCAAGTCTTAACTGCAGCAATGTTAAAAACATGCAAAAGCAGTAACTGATTTTGAAAAAACACACGAGTTGATTTTATGCCTGTTAAACAGCACTCTAGTAATTATCTTGATCATTAACATCTTAAAATAGTAAAAATTAATTTTGTGCTTGAATTGCTTACATAAAATACAGATGAATTACGTTAATGGTCTAAAATTGTGAAAAACATGGAATATATGACCTTCAGACTCCCATCTTCCCCCTTGCCTGAAGACTCTTACTGACAATGACTCATCTGCTGGCAACGGTTTATTCTTAGCAATTATAGACTTAACATGAATGTTTAAATACCATCAAAAATATTATGATATTTCAAAGTACATTAACGCAACATTGGTACATCTGTGAAATCCAGAGCTGTCACAAGTAAATACAAGATGAAAAGTTACTTCTGCTTTCCACCTCAGTGTGAAATAAGAAGCTCAAACTGGGCTATGAATTATGTTATACAGAGCTTCAGGGAAAGGGTCTGTGCTCAAGGCCAGTCACTAGCAGGCTGGATCTTAAACCCCATAACCACCCCCTAATCCTGGATCCTTTTGAAAAGGTTTACAAAACCAAAAGAAGGCACAACAAGAAACTGTATCTTTTCATTACTTTGGGTTACTTATCTGTCTTTTGTGAAGAGGCGAGACATTCAGTCTCAGAGAATGAGACATTCTGTGAAAACATGCTTTTGTGCCCTACCATCGTATCTCTTCTTCATTTTATTCTCACCATACTTGTGCACAACTACTGCACCAGCATTTCGTTTTCTTCACTAAGGAAGCATTTTCTGACTTGCCTCTCATACTCTTGTCACTCAGAGTTCTGGCTTAAGTGGTTGTTTAAATGTCAACTCAGGGATCAATCAGATTAGCTTTTAAAGAAGCTACTCCTCTGCCTGTTCCACTTAGTCTGCTCCTCAGTTGATATATTCTGGTGTATAAACAGATAAGTTTCAACCAGTAATACTTTATTTTCAAACAAAGTAGATCAGTCTCAGGACTCTACATTAAAACCACAGCTGAGGTGAACGGAAAACAGGTGAAACTATTCACAATTGAGTGGATTGCCCCACTGGGTGTTTTCTTTCTTGTCTGTCACTGTTATTGACAGCTAAGGATTACAGCCTCCATATCAAAGGAAGTAAACCAGAAAGTCTACCTTAGGTGTTTCAGTTGATAATTCCAGGGTAGAGTTTTGTGTTATGTTTTGCACCAGAAAGGGGTAAGACAGCTCTACTGTCTCCTTCCTGTTCACGCACTCCTGCCATCTACCTTGCATTCGATCTAGCAACTGGGCAATCTCAAATTGAGTTGCATCAGACTTCTGATCCACCTCAGTCTCCAAATGGGAGAAAAAAAAAAAAATAAAAAAAATCACTCAATTCAATGCAGCAGAGGGTGCCGAACAATGCAATCAGGACTGTAAGGTGGAAAATGAGGCAACCTTTTAGAAACAACCTGCAGCTATATTAATTTAAGGACCATGCGAAACTATATTTAATGCAACCCCCCGCTCATGTTTATTTCATCATAATTTTGAAGATCTTTGCTCAGCTCCAGGGTAAGCTGTTTTTTGTTGCTGCCATTTGTTTTCTTAAGTGACTTAATCACATTGCACATAAATGCCATGGAATTGTGATAATTTTGCATTACAAAGGACTCATTTCTCTGTGTTAAGAATACTTCTTTGGTGTCTTTCCCATTCATAATTGGTGTATTGAAAACTAAAAGTTTGCTATACTCAAAATCCTTGTGATAAGTGACCTTTTTATTTTGCAAAGTTGTGAACATCAAACATTAAATTATTTAGATAAATTCTCATACTATCTATTTAAATACTTGATTCAGTAATAGAGCTACATATTTCATGGCACAGCAGGAAAAGGTTGTTTACTTCTTGATAAATTTATTCTATTAAAAATTAAAATGCAGAAGTTCCTTCTATTACTTGATTACAAGTTTAAACCTCCCTGTAAGTTTATTCTTGTGTTATTGTCTCTGACTTCTTTAAAAATAAAACCAAAATGTATGTCTTCAGCACTTCTTTTATTCCCTATGTATCACAGCAGCCTCTAAATCTGTGTTGAAGCATAAGGAAATAGAACCACCCAAACTTGCAAACAATCTCTTTCCCAACACCATGATCTACCTCTACCTCCCCTTGCTCTCTTTTGCCATTCATTGCACTGAAATCTTTCCCACTCCTATGCAACATCACCCTCTCTAATCACCACTTCCAACTCCACCTGTCTCTGTACATGAAAACCTGGACTCTGGATGAAAAAAGGAATCCTGATGACAGACGTGCCTCACATTATTACAAATACTGAAAGGAAAAATTGAGAGTAACACTCTACTCTTTCAAGTCTTGGACAGTGTGATTCTGACGGCCTCACAAATATAACTCCCAGGAAAACAATCTACTAGGAAAAGGAATCCACAAGATTCTTGGACACTAAACACTTAATGTTTTAAGTAGTTTTAAGAGAGATTAATATGCAGGAATGTGTTTATAAATTACACTTAATTACAAACTACACAATTCTCAAGGCTGAAGGCTTATTTCACAGCACATGAAACTCTGTTAAAGAACACTCCCTTTTTCCAACACAAGCATACCCAAACTTGGAGGTCAGGAAGGAAAGAACATGGGAACAGAGTAGGAAGGAAGGGGAAAAAAAAAAAAGGGGGGGGCAAACGTTGAACGGAGGGACATAAAATGACAGATTACAATCTCAAACTGAAAAATGCAAGCAGTAAAAAAAATTAAAGGAGTACAGAAGAAATTAAATACTGTATTAAGACAAACCATTTCTAACTGATTAGCCAGAAATTGTTGCCATAGAAGCTGACTCTCAAACCACGAAATAAAAGAATGATTAACTGACAGAAAAGCAGAAATGATATAAAAAAATTTATATGAGAACATTATTTTGCATAAATGTTTCTACTGTTAATTATTTTTAAGAATGCCCAGTTTACAATAGCGCAGGGGCAGGAGAGAGAGAAAATGAAGAAATCCAAGCTGTTAATTCTGCTCTTCTTTTTCCTCTGACTTTCTGTACATCCTCAGCCTCCCCCCAAAATGTACTGTTTTAATGATGGCCCTACACCATGTTTTTGATCTGCTGGAGTATTGGTGCTCATCTAGATTTGCTGTGCTTTTCTGAGTAATTCTAGCACCTAACACACCTCAAAATCCTACCCTTACTCTGTCTTTAAGATACTTCATCCTGAAGCACTTCTGATGCATTCCTTACAGTTTGAAGATGCAACACAACTTGTAACATATGTTAATTCAATTTGACTTCAACCTACCTTTAAACTAGACTCATAGTCCATGTTCACTTTGAACATAAGCCCAAGTCGCAAATGAATTTCCTTGGCTCGACAAAAGCTGGGATCAACATAAAGCGCCTCCTGAAATGCTTTAATTGCCCTGAAAGAAAAACACAGATTAAAAAATTATTATTTACCAAAGTATTACTTTATAATCAATGTTATTTACATGACTAGCAGAAAGTGGATCAGAAAGTACTGTTACAGAAGAACATATCAAAATAACGGTTTACATGCAATGTATTTGTTGCATGTGTTTTGATTCTTCAAGGACTGGACAATTTTGTACTCCAGATATCCTGGTATATGTGAATGTCTAATCTTTTCTATTAATTTAGAGAAACTAATTTGCCGCATGAAATACAGTAATATATTTGCTATTTCAGAAAGGATGACTCAGGAATTAGTAAAAAAAAAACTAGTGCAACTTTATAACAATACAGTGATCATTCATGTCACAACCAACTGCTATGTTGCTTTTGATTCCAGGTAGCGCAGACCTCGGAGAGAAGCAGCAGAAGGCCTAGAAGGTAGGATCACGTACATCTCCTGCCATTGCACCTATCTGCTCTGTTTTCCATTTTGTCCTCCCTTTCTTAGTACCAGCACCATTGAGGGACTCAACTAATACCTACTGCTCCATTATTTTCTAGTCACTCAACTACTTCCAGGAAAACACAGATATGAAAGCCTGCTACCTCCTCCCACTGTAACTTGCTTTCATATTCCCATGGTGAAGACAGCTCTGATTCTATTTCCTTACCTTTAAATCATCTCTACACGTGACCCTGTTCACAATGGCTCTCTACCACATAAAACAAAAATGCTACCTAACAACTGTATCTTGGAGCAAAAAAAAAAAAAAGTTATTCTGAACAGGGCTGTTTTGCCTCTCAAGTTAACTGCATAAAATTAGGACAGCTGCAACGTAACTAAAATATAGATTTAAAATTCACACAGGAATTGAGAAAGAAGCTAAGACTCATTGTGCTAGCTCGCCTGAAATCCAGTGACAGGCTGAAACAAAATACCTTCACGTACATCACTGCTCCTACAATGACAGAAATCAGAGTCTGTCTCACTTCGGGTAAGATTCAAGCACCTAGGTCAGGGAGCCCAGTCCCATTTGCTGTCCTAGGCAACTCCAGAGATTGACGCTGAGCAGACAAATGACAGGCAAGCCTCCAGAAAGAATCGTACACCCTGTGGAGCAGCACAGAGACACTGGGCAGAATTACCATAGTGCCTAAAGCCACATAACGTTTAGGCAAATTGATTTCATTCCTACTCTCCAAGTCCAGCATTACTTATAAGGACAAAAGGTTAGCAGTTGCAATGGGAAAATCAATAAATATTTTTCATAGACACTTTTACTCACAGAAGACATAAATGAAAATTTTTGAACCCATCAGCAAAAACATTTCTTCTGCTCTAAAATTCTTACAGGGTCTTTTCTCATTCATGATGGCAAAGCAAACCAAAGGCACAGAACTTCCTCTAGACAATGCAACAAAACTGCTTGTACCTAAAGCATTATCTGACCTATTGAAATAGAACTTAAGAGCAGATGGGCTTAAACAAAAACAGTACATTTTTGTGGCGGAACTGAAGCTGCCTCTATTGTAATCTTTCAGGAGGGTTTTTACCTTGTATCCTACTTTTCTGCTTACACAAGGAATACGAGCAAGCGAAGGGACAAGCTTGCACCAGCTAAACAGTCTCTCACGTCTCATCTAAACTTCCCTGGAATAGCATGGGTGGTGATGAATCACACAACACAGTATCTACACTGGAATCATAACAAACAAGGATCCACCTCTCTTAACAGCATGCTCATCATAATCTACAAGCACACCACTCAAACTGGAAGGCCAAAGACTGGACTGATCACTAAATATCAGCACATATTTTAAGCTATTCTTTTGTTATGCCAAAGTATTGACTTCATGACAGTGTATTTACATTTCTTGTCTTAAATCTAATATGGTACTCAATGTTAGCCACCAGTATTTAAAATCCATTATTTGCATCTTGTTCAAAGACAGTATTTTAAGTTCTAAAAAGGGAAAAAAAACAGTGTCTACGTTCCCTATCAAAGAGAAGACAAAAATCAGGAATAAAGACATTGTGGTTCTATACCACATGGGAAATTGTGACTATGCTCATAGACACTTTGTGAACTTCGCATTCTTCACATTTCAGCTAGCTTGCTTGGTCAGAAAATACTATTTCCATTATTTGCCCTATATCATGTCCCAGTCTCAAAGATCATTGAAAAGTGGATTTCTAGCAAAGCTCAAGAGAAACTGTAAGAGATAAAAACATTTTTATAGTCTCTTGCTTACTGAACAGGAAATATTCATTGCAACAACTGAGCAACAGTTAAACAAAGCACAAGTATAACAAATTACTTTTAAGGACAGTTTTGAAATTTAGTTTGAATGTATACTGTCATCCATTCAAAAGAACAAGCATGTTGCCTGTCTTTCAGAGAAGCACAGCAGTTAAAAACCAGTAACATTATCATCAGTGGACAACATGAGAAAACTGTGTCATGTTTAGAACCTGACAGTCACAGACAGCCCCAGGAAGTTTGTGTAAGGTTTATCTCCATGCAGATGACACAACCACACCATTCACCTTTGTCTAAGCTGCTTGTGGAATCAAGTTCAACATTAGTAGTTATCACAAGTCTCTCAGATAACCTTATAACCCAACACAATTTTCCAATGAAGACAAGCCCAAAATGTACAAGGAGGAAGAGAATTTGTAGGGCAAGACATCATCCCTCTAGACACAATTTATGCAGGAAGTAACAGCATGCTTTTCAACCCATTTTGATGGACGTTTGGAAAAATATATCCAATCAACCAAGTCAAAACAAAAATATCTGTACCCTTTTAGACACCATTCAAGTTACCATGCTAACAGCTAAATAATAATATTCTAGTTGTACATTTCAGTTGTATTTGATCCCCAAACTGATAGTTTCAGAAGGAAAGGCAGATGCCTTAAAAGCATTATTACCTTGAACGGTTAAAAAACTCGAAAAGAGTATAGTCAGGGAGCACTGATTGCTCCCACCCATTGCATTGATTTGGCAATGAATGCACGCACTGGTAGCTAGTTTGGTGACAGATTCTCAACTTAGAAATTTTCTTTCAGCTTCTAATACGTGATGGATTTACATTTAAGAATGAATCCATAAGCACTCAAAATCTTAGGGAACTCCTGGGACAGTGTCTTGCTTGCATCTTAAATTCTGTATCCTTGGAAACCATAATAAAAACTAAAATAGAATTCTGAAAGGTAACAAATTTTAACTTATAATGAAGCATAATTACATCAGTAAATTAAGGGGAGAACATTGTAAGAACACACTAAATATTCCCCAAAGCAGCTTTCCTAACTAAAAATCAGGTATTTTATTCTTCAATATTCAAAATATTGGCCTGTAACTTACTTAACACTAGTGTTAATTCTATACTGATTATGCAATTTGTACTTTTTCCAGGATGACAATCACCAGTAGTAATAAATATAAATTACTTCCAGTACTTCTGTGGAAAAGGACATCAAAGTGATCTGAAAGGCAGCACTTTCAACAATTTATACCAGTGGTACATGCTCATGTCTAATTTGATAACTAATTTGTTAACTATAGCCTGGTTTTAAGTAGTCATAGGATTTTCATAGAATAAAACTCTCCAACTCTGAAAAGATATTTACTTATTAACTCCCACATACAGACAAGCAATTCTACACCACAGCTGAATTAATATTAATCTAATTTTGCCTATGGGAAACATTTAAACAAAATAGCAATGCAGTCAAGATTACAGGACACATCAAGAACCATGGACTACAGTAAAAACTTTAGTTTTGTTTTGGGGCTGCCTGTTTCCCAGTGCCATGCCCAGACCTCCAGACTCAGTCCCTTACCACATCAACAGCAAAACATCTGCAACACCACTGATATCCATTTCAGTTCTAAGTGCTTAATAACATCCAATGCCAATGGCATCAGGGCTTGGTACAGGTTGGTACAACACAGAAGAAGTGGACATGAGATGTGGAAAGTAGGAGTAAGTTTTGTAGTAGAAAAGGGAAATGAGAGAGAACGTGGCCCGATGTTGGTAACCGGCAGTCCTTCCTGTCCCATCTCTTTGCCGAAGTTGGGCCTTCCATATACAGCAGGAGTCACTTGATCCCTGTATAGATCTTTCTTTGTGCTGAAACATCACTAATCCCACTTCTGTCCTCTGCCCAAGCCTACATTCAGACTGATGCGGGACTAAAGGCAAGGCATCCAGCTTACTCAGATGTTTTCCCTCAAAGCTCTTCTACAGTTTGACCAAACCAGGAAGAGCAGATATACCCTAATAGCTTGATGATTTATCCCATATGAAGCAAGACTTGTCTGAAGAGGCTAACAGCTTCCTTCAGAGATGATGGCACACAGCCTTCCTCAAGCAGGCTGTTAGTCTCCACCACTCATTAACAGCCCTTCATGCACAGACACAGCTTTTCATTTTAATCCTTCAGCAGACTAAACATACATTAGTCCAAAAGATAAATCATTAAATGAAGGGATGGGAGCTCTCATACTGCAGAAATGAATGACAGTTGTCTAAACTCAGCAAGAGATGACTTTTGGTTTGTTCTCTGAAGATACTGACAACTGCCTGGTAAGAAACAACTTTCATTGAGTCTACTAGAAGTTATTTAAATTAAATAAGAGTTTTCTCCAAGAACAGGAGCATTTCCACTAACAGGCAGGAAAGACTATCTAACACTCAACAAAATGGGAAAGCAGGACTGGAAAACAGAGACTATGGAGGATGAAAAGTACCTCTGGGCTTACATTTTACACAGCACTGCTACTGTAATTCAGCAAAAATAAAAATGACATTAATCTATCATCTCCAAATCAAAATTTCCAAAATCAATACTGCAGCTATCTTTCCACCCACTCATCTATACAACAATGACTACTATTATGAAAGTGAAGAAAGCAGCTGAATAATAATTAATAGAATATCATATTCAACATTTAGTGAACTCTCATAAGAGTTTCATTGGAAGGTTTTACTTGGATAG